CAACCTACCGCCAAGGTGCTTGGCGGTAGGCACGAGCACGCACTGTGTTCAATACTTAGCAAAATTTCGCGGTAGGGCATGCAATCCTACCGCCAGGTACCTTGGCGGTAGGCAGTTATACCCTACCGCCATGACCCTGGCGGTAGCAAAAGGGTCAGATCTGAAAAAAAATTCAAACTAGTGTCAGATCTCGAATAGCTATCTAAAAAGGGTCAAAACACGAAATTTAGCCTCTCAGGGCATGAGGAGTAGAATGCAAACCTTGGATACTGGAGTATATGATGGGCACAAGGATCTTTCATTGCAAAAAGAACAACGTCCATATGGCACTACTTGGCTACTTGCACAACACCAATGATGCAAGCATATGGCTTTCCAAGGTTGAGGAGGAAGACTTGGTGCAGAGGCCGGGAAGTGAAATTCTCTCCCATTTTTAGCCTAGCCCCCCGCGTCGCCCCCGCTCGGGCGACTCGGGCGGGATCTCGATCCCTAGCCGCCGCCGGTCCCCTCCCCTCCCTTCCTCCCCTCCCTCCGCCACCGCCGAAGGACGCCGCCGGCGATGGCCCGGGGCTGACGGCGGTGGCGGGGGTCCTCCCTCTTGCCTGCGCCGTGGGGGTGGTGCGGCGCCCCGCGGCATGGGTGGCGCGGCCGATCTGGCCTGGCGGCGCGGCGGCTGCCTCGGCCAAGGGCCGATCTGGCCTGGCGGCGCGGCGGGCCTGCCTTCCGGCGGCGGCGCGGCGGCTGCCTTGGCCAGGGGCGGCGATGGTGGGGTGTGCCAGCCGGTTCTGCCTCGGGCTGCGTGGCGGCGTTCGGCGGTGGCGGCCGGGACTGCGGCGACACACCATCTGACCTCGGATCGGCGGTGGCAGCATGGAGGGCCTGGTGGTTGGGTCGGCACCATGCGGGTTGTGCCCTCCGGACAGATTTGATCTGGCCGGTGCGGCCTGCTCGTTGTGCGGCGGCTCAGATCGGCGGCGACCCATGCACACATTACGTGATGGAGGTTCTTCGAGCGGATCCGGGTGAAAACCTTGTGCTCGGCTTCATGCCATGGCCGGCGTTGGTGACACCCTGTTGTGTCATTACCTTCTTGAAGGCATCGCCGTGGAGAAGCTCTAGACCTCTATCCGCTACCTCCGGGGGAAACCCTAGATCAGTTGATCGGATGACGGCGGCGCGTTGGTGTCGTTTCCTCCTTGGGGGCGTCATTCTTGGAGGCGTACACGGGATCGAGGGACCAGCGGGCGCCTTTTTGGTGGAGCGGTGCTTCATCCTTCACATTGATGACGGCGGATCTCGGCGGCGTGGTGCGGTGGAGACTCGGCGCCCGATGCGCGGTGATGGACTCGCGCAGGTGGAGGTAGTTGTCTGGCGTCAAGGTGGCGTCGATGACGGAGTGACCTCACAAGGTAGAAGCCTCAATATCTGCTCTGAAGACGGACATGTGGAAGATGGCGGCGACGACACATGTGAGTGCGTCAGACCAGTTTATGCCCCAGACCCAGTATGTGGCTCGGATGGGGCTTCTGGCTTTGGATGATAGGATTAGGTGAGTAGTCTGGGTATGTGGCCCAGGTAGCACCCCTGCATCATTTGGATAGGAGTAGTGGCATATGTTGTCAAGATGGCGGATTCAGGCATATTGTTGTAATACTTTGTAAGGTCCTCGAGAATAATCAATAAAGTGGTCGTATGCATCTCCCAGATGCAGAGGCCGGGGGTCATCCTCCTTTTCTAAAAAAATATGGCTTTCCAAGGTAAGGTGTTTGGCCGACAACCTTCCTGGTTGAAGTTGCATCAGCCATGCCGTTGTTCCCTAGTCCATATGGCACCTACCTGCACAGCACCAATGGTGTGAGCAGATGCCCTGAAGAAGCTGATAGTGTCAAAACAGAAGCACTAATGTTTGCTCAAAAGAGTTGGCAGCAATGGCCCCATCTATTGAGCTGTAATCAGCAAGGAATACGTAACCAGATTTGTGTAGCACGATCTCCTTATATTCAGAACCATAATTAGAGCTGGCCGTAGAGCATAAATCAAGGAGTTGCACACTAGTATGAGAAGCGGGTTTTTTTTTTTGAGTAATATGCAAAAGTAGAACAAATCTGATCCGAGTCCTACTTCGGTACAACGCCCCTCACAAAATGTATAAAGGGCAATATAGACATTTGAGCAAATGGTTGCTCTGGAACTATTTCATATTTTAGTCTGCAAATAGTAAATATTCCCTCTGTAAAGAAATATAAGAGCGTTTAGTACTTCTTTACAGAGGGAGTACATACCAAACTCTACAGATATCCATGGAATCTTTTCAGCTCAATAGAAGTAACAAGCTTATGATTTTCTGAGAGTGCAATGTGTGGCAAACATACATGGTCATATCACATTGAATATCAAGATACATAATTCCAGTTGCTTAGAGATGGTGATATAATTTATATGACAGATCATGGGAGAAGAGGCTTCACATAATTTATATGATGATACATAATTCCAGTTGCTTAACAAGATTGCATACTAGGAACTTACTTTTCCCAACATCTTTTGAGAAGACACAAACAGCCTCCACACAAGGAGAGGGGCTTAAAGACTCTTCACTGGAAACCAGAGTATCGTCACCCACATATCCTAGATCAGCCCCTTCAACAACTTCTTGCATAGCAGCATCTTCCTCAGACTGAGCTCTAGCAACTGTAGGGATAGAAGAAACATATCAATCTGTCTAGCTGCTAACCTCCCACGAGGATTCACTGCCGCAACATGCAAGCACGTATAGAACATAACATGCATGCATTAAAAATAGCATCCTCGTTTAAACTTTGCCCCAAAGCCCGCACCAACCAAGTGGTCTGGAGTCTCAGCGGCCGCATCCAAGACTGCACTCCGGTCTTTATCAAATATAAATGACTGCACTTTACGATCCAAATTTTGATTTCACTTCGGGATTTTATTTAGAAAAGCACATGTACTCCAGTACCACCAATTAAATAAAACTTAAACCATGAATTTCAGAATATTGTAGTAGCATATGTTCATTTTTCAGCAGAAGAACTTGGTTTTCGGAAACCTTCAACCTAGACGAATGTTGGGACCGGTTATTTTACCTCTTTTTAGCATTCAGGTTACAAACTAATTTATGCAGGATACAATCACCATCAGTTCCATCGCGTTTGAGCTGCCAGCACCGGCGCAAGGCGGCGTGGAGCAATCACGGGGACATACTATAGCATAAAACAAACTCTTTTATGATGAAAATACAATTTTGTCAGCTAATGTTGAATAAAATGAGTTGAACCATGGGACTGCAACATGTTCATCTCACATCATATATAACAAAGAGAATTTTCCTAATTCTGTCCGGTAAGGAAGATCTTAATAATCCTAATTTGGACGATGGCACCTCCATTATTCCCCTAACCGAGATCGATGGCAGATCGGGTATTTCCTTCAGCACTGTGATGGTGCACTGCACGGTGAACGAGTCGTCCTTGAGATAGGCCGATCTTTCTAGAGCGCTTTTTTCGATGAGCCAGAACGCAGACGAGCTGTCCTGCGGATTCTTGAATGTTCCACCACGTCTCGTCTCTTCAGATGGTTTCAGCTTCCCCCTCGGATCCACCAGGCGACAACCGAGAGTCGCCTTAACGTTGCGCGCCCGTGCTTCACCGAGGAAGAAGAGCTCTACCCATATCCACGAAATGTACATGGAATGATGGCCAGGCAACCCTGCGGTATACAGTCGGATCTCCCAATCGTACCCGTAGACGTTCCATCTGGACTTGATGCAGCCGTCGAGGCTGTCCATGGTCTTGGTCATGCAGTAGCCGTTGACCCTGAGCAGCCGCACCGAGCGCACAACGTCGGTGAGGTTGATGTGGGTGCTTGCCATGGCGAAGGCAGAGAGATACGAGAGTGGAGGGAAAAAGGGGAAGTTACGAGAGACGACTGAAGTGAGAATGCTGCCCGTGCATGTGAGGAAGATTGTTGGGTACTTCGCCACGATTTTTATACCGGGACGTAAGCTGTCGACTGGACTCTTCGGGTAAGGCATTGCCGCATGCCAATAAATGGATGCTGGAGGTTGCATGCGTGCAGTATACCAGCAGTCACCATTGATGATGGGGACGCTGCAAGTTGGAAATACGAAGCATTTTTGTGTTGGTGAACATCGTGTGGCTGTTGGTGTACCGCATTGACAGATCATTTGTTATTCAGCTCGATCGACCATTGATATTCTATTTCATGCATCTTTACCCGAGGAGCCATGGTTACTGCGTTTGAGGTGTACAACTACGACCTCCATAAAACCTCCACAATCATTCTCAGTTTCTCATATCGTCTCCTCTACTCTGTTCATTCCACTTCCCAGCTATCTCCATGGAAGATGCCTGCACAAACCTCACGGACGTCGTCCGCTCGGTGCAGCTGCTCACGATCAATGGCTACTCCATGACCAAGACCATGGACAGCGTCGACGGCTGCATCAAATCCAGGTGGAACGTCTACGGCTACGACTGGGATATCCATTTGTATCCTACAGGGCTGTCCAATCGTTACCACAGTTCGTCTTTAGCCTTGAAGCTCGTCTTCATCGGTGAAGCCCGTACGAGCAGCGTGAGGGCCAGTCTAGCCTGTCAGCTCGTAGATCCACAGGGAAAGCTCAACCCCTCCAAAGAAGAGAGAGAAGCAGCAACATTCAAGCGCCCCCAAGACAGCTCGTCTCCAGTTTTCCTCATTCAAATGAGTGCTCTGGAAAAATCCGTCTATATCAAGGATGATTCTTACACAGTGCGGTGCACCATCACCGTGCTGAAGGACATACCCGGTTCAGCAGCGAGCTCGGTTCATGGAGCGGACGTCCCGTCGTCGGACTTGCGCCGGCATCTCGGCGAGCTCCTGCGGGGCCAGACCGGAGCGGACGTCACGTTTCTTGTGATCTTGTCTCCGGCGAGTCCTTCGCCGCGCACAAGGCCGTGCTCGCCGCAAGGTCTCCCGTGCTCATGGCCGAGTTCTTTGGGGAGACGAAGGAGGAGAGCTCCGCCCGCGTCGAGGTCAAGGACATGGATCCGGAGGCATTCAGGTCCATGCTGCACTTCGTCTACACCGACGCAACGACTCTGGCTCTGGCCGACCAGCGTGGCTGTTCCCTGCTCAAGGCTAAGTGTTTGGAATTCATCGTCAGCACCCCTGAGATCCTTGATGTCGTCATGGCGACTGAGGGGTATAAGCAACTGGAGACAAGCTGCCCTTCTGTTCTGCGCGAGCTTCTCAAGTCTGCGCGTGAAAGAATGTGTAGCTAGTGCAAAGGTCCGAACCACTCCAGTATTTGTCATCTGTACCAAATTATACCTCGTGTCTTTTTTTTTTCAGGGATTATCTCTCGTGTCTTCAATACTACTATCTCTTTTTAGTTTTTGGCTCTGTGACGGCTTTTTAATCCGCTGAACATGACACTGTTCTAATTGGTTAAATCTTAGTACAGTACTAGTTGTAGTTTGGAACAATCTTGTGCACGGCTGTCCAATATTTAGCTAGAGGGCGAGGCGTCCAATTTGTACCGGTTGATTGAGTGTTTCCCCGACCCGAGTCGATCAGGTATATCCAAATCCAATTCTTTCCCGGATCGAACTGGCGTGGGAGCGAAGGATCTATAAGTACAACGAACGCTGACAGAGTTTGCCTCCCCTGCCGTTGTATTCCACCTGCTCTAGGTTCGCCAATCATCCACAACGATGGAAGCTCCATCTCCCGCTCCAGATCAATATTTTAAATAGCACGCTATTTCGCCGTTATAACGCGGTTATAGCATATTTGAAAGGGAGACGTTACGTTTTGGCAAAATCGGACGCTACGCTGCTAATCGCGTAATTAGCGCGCTACACACGCTATAACGTTGTAACGTTACAACGTGCAGACCATGCAAAACTGAAATAAGCACAGCCCAGCAGGCCCAGCAGGCCAAAACCAATCCACGACCACTAGCTTTCTCACTCCTTTTATCAGATTCTCCCACGAGACCTAACCAGCAAGCCCATGTGGCTGCCCCGGTGGCTGTTGATGTTAGAGACTCTTAAACCTATGGTTGTTGATGTTTGAGACTTACTATTTTTATGTGCTGGATTTGGCCCTTATGCATATATTGCTTGCTCCTATGAAAAATTTAGTTGCTTAAATACTTTATTTCTAGATATATTTGATTTCTTTTGAAACGCTATTTTAAAATATAGCACGCTATTAGCGCGCTATAACTTGTGTAGCGTTTAGAGAAGGGCCTCGCTATATTTTGTAGCGCGCTATTTAAAATATTGCTCCAGATTGGTCCGAGCTGCCCGCCGACATACTGTACAACGTGCTCACGCTGCTCGAGTGCCCGGACCTCCTCCGATCCGGCGCCGTCTGCGCGGCATGGCACACGGCGTACTCCACGCTACGCCGCGCCGGCATCTGCCCCGTCCGCCAAACCCCCTGCTTACTCTACTACACCGAGGCCGCCGGCGGGCTCAAAGCCCTCGGCATGTACAGTCTTTCAGAGGAAAAGGCCTACACCATGCCGCTCCCTGAATCTCCCATCAAGAACTGGATTGGCGCATCGCACGGATGGCTAGTCACTATGGATGACAAGTCTGAGCTGATGCTGCTCAACCCGATCACCGGCAACACTAATGTACTCCCTCCAGTTACAACCATGGAGCATGTTAAACCTGTCCTAAACGGCGACGAGGTTCTCGAAAAGTATGAGGTGTATTACTACGACGGAGAGATTCCGAGGGTGGTGGAGGAGGACACCGCTATATGGTCCTTGGAGGAGTATGGTCACATGGTCTATTTAAAGGCGGCTTTATCGTGTGATCCATCGGTAGGTGAATGCATCGTCATGCTCATCCACCAGCCATACGGCCAGCTCTCGTTTGCCAAGGTAGGAGATGATCGCTGGAATTGGCTCACCGTATCTAGCTACTACAGAGATTGTGTATATCACGACGGGTGGTTCTATGCAGTTACTGAAGAAGGCGCGATTGATGCATACAATTTACATGGACCGTCTGCCATCCAAAAAAGGTTGTTACCCCAAATAATCCAGACAGTTTCGAAATGTCACGTTGTTCGGGCGCAATCTGGAAATGTCCTCCAAATCATTAGGAGGCAGCTTCTAAATCCTGATCATGAACAACCGGGCAGTCGGGAGTGGGTCACTGAAATCAAAGTGTACAGGGTTGATTCTGATGACCAGAAGTGTGTCAACATAACAGAGATAGGGGACTATGCGTTGTTCATCGGGAGCAGCACAACGTCTTGCTTAAGCGTCAAGGACTATCCAGACTTGATGCCAAACCATGTCTATTTTACAGATGACGACGATGCAACACACATTTTCCGGACAGATGACCCTCCCGAGGTTGGAATTTATGACATTAAAAATAATACCTGGGTGAATGTGGTTCATCCTGAACTTTGGATGAATTGGTTGCCTCCAATATGGTTGACACCGAGTCTTGCAAAAACAGGTACGGTTCTACTTGTCCCTTGATATCTATTCTGGAAGATGCTGGTTGCCGTATATCTCGAGCTTTGAGCAGCATTTATTATTTACGTGTTATATTTTCTAGTGCCCTCCTCATAGAATTTATAGAAACCAACTCCCAACACTAAGATAGTTAAAAGTTTTGCCATGTAACATTTTTTTCCTTCTCTTGGATCATCATTATTGCTTCATATTAATTAATTGGACTTTTATTTGATAAAATTCACTTGGTTATGTTGAACTTGCAAAACCTACTTTTCCTAAGGTTGGCTTGTTTAGATGGCATGAACATGAGCATGACACTTTTTTATCGAATCTGTAGAAATTTCTTCCCACAGTTTTTTAGATAAATTAAGAGAAGCTTTATATACAGAGTTAAAGCTACACTTATTCTAGGCCAGAAAGAGAAGGAACTGTACAACAAAGGCGCACACAGTACCTCGAGAGCTAGTTATGCAAAGGAATGAACCAAGACCTCAAAATTTTCATTTTTTCGTCTCTTTGCCCTATGAACGATCCACTGCACTAATGTATTGTTTACCCACATGATCCTAGTGTATTGTTCTTTCAAATGTCTTATTGGATCTCGTATTGCTCTGGTCTACAGAGAAACGGAAAAAACAAACGCTTCATGCCGTGGCATCACTGCTAGTTGATATTGCAAATGGTTTCTTCAACAAAGGCAAAGGTTGGGCCCCAATGACAACAAAATCAAAGGAAATTACTCGCCAACAACAGTAAAATCCGGCACCAAATCATCAATAATGAGAACATCTGTGTGAGAAGGATACGTAGCTCTTCCACCGTTCCACGTACAGCAGTAACTGCATCATCAAGCCATCTACAATGAGAAGTTGTCGGGTTTTAAACTTGAGTGACAAAAACCACACAAGTCAATAAGTATAGGGACAAAAATGCACTTCTCTACAAGTCGATATAATTATGGAAATAAGTTACTACCTTTGGTGCAAAAAGACACAGGCATACCGCTCGACATGAACGGTACCTATTTTACAAACCAACAAGGAAAAGACACATGTATAACTTGCCATAGTGTGCACACACGCATGATAATCAAACCCTGGACCATTGCGCTAGCTACGCTTCCTCCCACGGGCAGATTTGAGGAGCTCCCGCAGCACCAAAGGGCAGCTTGCCTCTAGGTGCCTATACCCCTCAGTCGCCATAACAGCATCAAGAGTCGTGGAAGTTCCAACAATGAACTCCAAGCATTTAGCCTTAAGAAGCGAACAACTATGCCGCTCCGCAAAGGCCAGAGTGGTCGCTGCCGTGTTGACACCTAGTCCATCGGACAGCTTGTACTCGCAAATCAGCTTGAGCCTGTCTAGCGCGTACCTGTCAGCAGCTGCTAGTAGATGCTGAGTCATGACCATCACCGTCTCCGATGGATGATCAGCAAGTCCAGGCGCCGTGTCTGTGTATATGAAGTGCAGCATGACCTTGAAAGCCTCCGCTTCCATGTCGTTAATCTCGACGTGTCGAGACCGATTCTCTCTCATTTGGCCGAAGAACTCGGCCATAAGCACCGGGGACCTTGCAGCGAGTATGGCCTTGTGCGCAGCAAAAGACTCACCGGAGACAAGAAACATAACATCTGCTCCGGTCTCGCTTTCGAGGAGCTCACCGAGGTGCTGGTGCAAGTTCGAGGGTGGAACGTCTAGTTCTTTAACTGGGATCATTGCCAAACCCGGCATTTCCTTGAGCACGGTGATGGTGCATTTGACGTTGAATGCATCATTTATGAGACAACCAGAAACTAGTAGAGCACCTGGTTCGACGAGCAAAACTGGTGATGAGCAATCATGGGGACGCTTGAACGTTCCTGCTTCTCTCATTTCTCCCCATGGGGGCTTCCCCGACGGATCTACCAGCTGACAGCCCAGACTCGCCCTCACGTTGCCCGTGCGGGCTTCGCCGAGAAAGACAAGCTTCAACGCTATGCTCGGACGGAGGAAACGGTTGAGCAGCCCTGCAGGGTAGAACTGGACTTCCCAATCGTACCCGTAGACGTTCCACCTGGATTTGATGCAGCTCCCTCCCTCGTAGCCGTCCATGGTCTTGATCATGGAGTAGCCGTTGATCTTGAGCAGCTGCACCGAGCGCACGACGTCGGTGAGGCTTGTGCAGGCCACCTCCATGGCAATGGCTGGGCGGTGTAACGGAGAGAAACAGAGAGGGAAATGTATGGGAGGAAAGGGAAACGATGTGTGTTTGTGAGAAATGGTTTGTCGTGATTCCTCTTTTAAGTGATATCAAATGATTGTCTGGACAGGTCAAAAAATAGAAATACTTATTGTCTAGAGCAAACAGCAGAGAAGAATTTAGCATGATTGTGGCGTTGTGCTCCGAACGTGCCCGCCACTCCTTGGGTAGCTCGCAACGCGTGCGTGACCGTGGACGTCGTGGACCTGTTACTAAGCTACTCCACGATCAATGAGTGCTAATAATCACCATGAGAGCCCTACAAAAGGTGTCCGATTTTTGTAGGATGGAGACTTTGGTTGCATCCTTGTCTTATGAAAGAGCATCTCCAACATCAGCTCAATATATGAAACGTAAAAGATAGTTTTGCATAAAAAAAGTTAGAGCATCTCCAATCGATAATGTAAAAATAGCCGAAATATACGCCACTTGGACTAAAAACGCGTTTCAACAGATGATGTAAATGCAATATTTTTACTCAGATTTTACATCTGATGTAAAATGCATTGCAAATATACATCACCTATCCACGCCGAATATAAAACGTCCAGCAACCCACGATCACCCAACCGCCACTTCCTCACTTCCCCCCACCACTGTGTGACCGCTGCCTTGCCTCCCGCCGCACCACGCCACCACACCGCCCACCCATCGGACCCCGCCGCCACCAAATCCGCCTCCCCACCCCCGCCACCATCAGATCCGCCGCATTTTCGCCGCCCACGCCTGCAAATCAATTGAATCCGTTGCTTTTTTCGCTGTTGTCGTGCAATTTAAGCTTCTCCGCTGCCGTCCTCACAGCCTCCCGCCTCCTCACCCCCGCCGCCGCTAGAGCCGCTGTCGTGGTTCTAAGTCTGACAGTAGAGTGGGGGTAGGTATGGAGAGGCAAGGTCCTAGCTATGAAGCAGTTGTACGCACAAGAGATGTACGAGTTCAGGCCCTTCTCGGAGGAAGTAATAGCCCTACGTCTCGGAGCCCGGAGGCGGTCGAGTGGATTATGTGTGTATGAATTACAGGGGTGCGAACCCTTTACACTGAGGAGGGGGGTGGCTTATATAGTGCCTGCCAGACCCCTCCGGCCCTCAGTAATGCGGGGTTTAAAGTACATAAATTCTAGGCGTTACTGGTAACGCCTCACATAAAGTGCCCTAAATACCATAAAGTCTTCTTAATTGTAGACCGTTACGGTGCAGAGTGCTTCTTGACCTTCTGGTGGTCGACTATGTCTTCATGGTCGAGTCCTTTGAGTCCGTTGAGTGAAGTCCTCCTTGGTCGACTGGAAGGTAGTCTCTTCTAAGGGTGTCCTTGGGTAGGGTACTTGGATCAGGTCTATGACCCTGCCCTAGGTACATGACTTCATCATTAGCCCCCGAATGGATTGAGGCTTGAGTGAGGAAGGAGTTGATATTATTTCCGACCTGCTTTTGCATCCTGGATATGTGTTGTCTTGGACCAATAATCTCCTCGTTGATAATCAGCAACTTTTCTTCAGTCGACTTGATCCATTCTTTTCTTTCGTCGAGTGACCTTTTGAACTTAACAATTCCCGAGCAACGGATCGCAGGAAATCTCGTGCCTGACAGATCGATCTGCCGTTAGCGGATTTTGTGGGATACGAAATTTGGGAAAGCGCGCGAAGCGGGGCGGACCGCGGCGCTCGGATGGGATAGGGCATAGACGCCTCGATTCTTGCGCCACCTTTTTCGCCACGTATCGCGTACGCGCGACTGTTTTGGGATGTGATTGGATCTCCCGGGCCCACTTGTCATCCACTCGGAAGTGATCTTATAAAGGCGCCCGACGAGGGCCTTTGAACAGTATCTCTCCATTCTCTCTCTGCCCTCCCTGCCTCCGCCCACTGCGCCCGCCCCCGCCTCCGCGCAATCGCTCCTCGTGCGCTTTGCCGGCAGCCATGGTGAAGGAGAAGACGGCGGCACTGGAACGCGCGAAGAAGGCGTCGGCAACGGGGAAGGCGAAAGGGAGAACAACCAGTCGGGGAGGGTCTTCGTCTAGATCTCGTCTGCCGAACGGCTGGGTCCAAGGAGATTGGATCCGGTCTACCATCACGGAGAAGGATCTCACTGACATGGCCAACGACGGTCTGATCCCCCACGGAGCAGCAAGGCTCCCGGGGAACGAGTGGCAACCCCAGCCGGAAGAGGGTGAGTGTGTCCTTCTGGCTACCCACGTCAACCGCGGGTTTTCTTTGCCGCCGAGTGTTTTCTTCCGTGGTTTCTTGAACTTCTTTGGAGTGCAACTCCACCACTTCAATCCGAACTCTATCGCCTATCTTGCTGCCTTTGTGTCCATGTGTGAGAACTTTCTGGGTTGCCGACCGCACTGGGGCCTGTTCAAGCATATCTTCATGTGTCGCTCTCAGACCGTGAAGAAGGCGAGTCCAGATGATGATAAAACCAAGGTTATCCAGATGTGTGGAGGTCTGGGGATCCAGATGAGGAACAAGAGCACCTTCCCAGCCATGACGCTCCCCGAGTCGGTCAGAGGCTGGCAGTCGACTTGGTTTTACTGCCAGAACGAGTCGACGCCGGGGCAGTCGAGTGGCCTCCCTCCGTTTACCATGGACCGAGCCAACAAACCCTCCTCTCTGAAGGTGCTCCCGGAGGAGAAAGCCGACGTGAAGATGCTGATGGGGCGCGTAGTCCAGTTGGTTCGGGAAGGAGTGACGGGTATGGATCTCCTAGAGGTTTTTCTTAGGCGACGTATCCAACCACTTCAGTACCAGGGCCATTGCATGTGGTTGTACTGCGGGACCGAAGATGAGACTCGGATCAATCCAGAAGCAGTCGACGATGCCACGCTGGAAAGGTGGATGGCCGCGGTCACTGGGAACAAGGATAACCCTCGTGGAGCCAGGAGGATTCCTCCACTCGACCATTCCAGCACTCCAGACAAGGTATGCCCACTTTACCTCCAATTGTATTCTTGCCATAATTATTTCCGTTTTCGCCGCAAATTGGTCGATTGATCTTTGTCTTGATGTCTGACAGGTCCTCACCGACCTATACTCGATGCCCAATGGAGCGCAGACTCCGACTGAGGAGGGAGAAGCGATCGGGGGTGAAAGCCAGGAGGAGTGGGACTCGGATGCTGCTGAAGATGATGATGATGATGATGACGAAGAAGAAGAGGAGGAGGAGGAGGAGGAGGTCGCGCCACCGCGCTCGGAAAGGCGGTCGAAGCTTGTCCATGACCCTGCGATTGAACGCGGCAAGGGGGTGGCGACTGTCGTGCAGTCGACCAAGCGTCCTCGGACCACTTCCCCGGCGCCGACTGAAAAGGCTCCGAAGCAATCTAGGGTGGCACCGTCGAGGCCGACCAAAGTCCTGCGGAAGATGAAGGTGTCAATCCCCACCATATCAGGGTAAAAATGTTGCTTGAGTCTTCTTGCTTTATACGAGTTTATCTTTGATCGACACTTGAGTTAACCGACTGATTTTTGGAATTGCAGTGCTGCTACTTCTGATACCTCAGCCAGGGCCGACGATCATGAGATGGAGGATGCTGCAACCTCAAAACCTGGTACCACTCTCTTAATTCTGTTTTTTAGTCGATTGACTCTTGGTCTCTAATTCTGATTCTTTTCTGCAGCTCCATCCAATGTCGTTATCACCCTTCCTGACGACGATGACGACGAGGAACCGCTGAAGCACAGGAGGAGCAGGAAAGCGTCTGCCAGCAGGGTGGCTCAGGATGTGACAGCACCCGAGACTCTGGTCGCGGAGGAGGAAAACACCACTCGGCACACCGTATCTTTCGCGGTGCCGCTGACGAGTGCTCATCCCGCGTCGTCGAGTGCTGCACAGCCTTCGCTCTTCTTGACCCACTACGTCCCGGAGGACCAAGCCAGTGCTGCAAAGGAAGCGATACGCCAGGCGGGAGTCATGATGGAGCAGGTGAAGGCCATCCGGGAGGCAAGCCAGGCAGCCTACGACGCCAGCTCTGCTCTTCAAAGCAATGTTCAGGTCAGTCGATCATCGCCTGTTCTGTTAGGATATGCTATCTGAAAATCTTTCTTTTCGGAATCCATAGTAGTCACCCACTGGGTGTGTCGATTGAAACTCCGGTTTAGCGGGGGCACACTGAGTGCACCCGCTGGGTGTAGTCCCCAAGGCTATGATCGACTGCTGGCAGTCGGCCACAGGCTTTATAAGTTAAGTTCTTCCATCATTCGACTAAGTCGAATGGATCTCTCAAACCGGTGGGAGCACGCTGAGTGCACCCACTGGGTGTAGTCCCCGAGACTGTGGTCGACTGCTGGCAGTCGGTTACAGTCTGAAGAATACATCCTGTGGTTGTTGTTTTTTTTTGGTCGACTGGTCGACTCTATCTTAATAGAACTAGTGGGGGCACGCTGAGTGCACCCACTGGGTGTAGTCCCCGAGACTACGGTCGAATGTTTGTATTCAGATGTAGTCTTAGAAACACATGATTTTTTCTTATCCACTCGGAAGTGAATTATCTTTGTCATTTTGTCGATTGGTTCTTCGCAGAAATCCTGCGACCTTGCGGCTCGTTACACCGAGCTGGAGAACAAGCACATCCAGCTCGAGCTGGATCTGAAGCTGGTCCAGGAGAATCTGACGAAGGCGAAGGAGGAGACCAAAGGTACGTTCGGTGAGATCTCGACGACTGCTTTTGTCCTTCATTTGTTTCAAAATCTGACCTTGCTGTAACTTGCAGGCAAGGTGAAGGAGGCCCAGAAGAAGAAATACCTTGAGCTAGCTGAGAAGACCAAGCTTGCTGACGAGAAGTTAGTTTCGGTCACCAAGCTTGAAGAAGAAAATACTAATCTGAAAGCTGCTCTTGCGATTGCCAACAAGGAGGTCAGTCGACTGAAAAGTGACAAAGCTGCCCTAAATGACAAGGCCAGTCAGTTGACTGGGGAGAAGAATGATCTGGAGGCCTTTCTGAGTGG